GACCCACTCCCAGATGGGACTGTGGTGTACACTGATGGATCGAAAACTGGTATGGGAGCTTATGTGGTCAAGGATAGGGTTATATCTAAACAATATAATGAAACTTCACCTCAAGTTGTAGAATGTCTGATAGTACTGGAGGTTCTTGAGGCTTTTCCAGGACCCCTCAATATTGTATCAGATTCCTCTTATGTGGTTAATGCAGTTAATCTCCTTGAGATAGCTGGAATAATAAGATCCTCCAGCAGAGTTGCTAACATCTTTCAAAAGATACAAGCTGCCTTGTTAAATAGGAGATTTCCTGTTTTCATTACCCATGTCCGAGCACATTCTGGACTCCCAGGTCCCATGTCCTTAGGGAATGACTTAGCGGACAAGGCTACAAAGCTGGTGGCCGCTGCCTTGTCTACCCACACACAAGCAGCAAAAGAATTCCATAAGCGCTTTCATGTGACGGCTGAGACCTTGCGCCGTCGTTTTGCTCTATCCAGGAAAGAGGCTAGGGAAATTGTTACTCAATGCCAGAATTGCTGCGAATTCTTACCTACTCCCCACATGGGAATAAACCCACGTGGCATTAGACCATTGCAGATGTGGCAGATGGATGTTACTCATATTCCCTCTTTTGGAAGGCTTCAATATGTTCATGTTTCTGTTGACACCTGTTCTGGCGTAATGTTCGCCACACCCCTAACAGGGGAAAAGGCCTCATATGTGATTCAACATTGCCTTGAGGCCTGGAGTGCTTGGGGAAAACCCAGAATTTTAAAAACAGACAATGGACCAGCATATACCTCTCAAAAATTCCGACAGTTTTGTCGGCAAATGGATGTTACCCATCTAACTGGCCTACCTTATAACCCTCAAGGACAGGGCATTGTGGAACGTGCCCATCGTACACTCAAATCATATCTGATTAAACAAAAGGGGAGTATTGAGGATGTTCTACCCTCGGTACCAAGAGTTGCTGTATCCATGGCACTTTTTACCCTTAATTTCTTGAACTCTGATGCCCAAGGCCACACTGCGGCCGATCGCCACAGTTTAGAGCCTGATAGGCCAAAAGAAATGGTAAAATGGAAAGATGTCTTGACTGATCTCTGGAAAGGCCCGGATCCTATTCTTATAAGATCCAGGGGAGCTGTGTGTGTTTTTCCACAGGAGGAAGAAAACCCCCTGTGGATCCCTGAAAGACTCACTCGAAGAGCTCCTTCACAACTCCAGAATAAGAAGGATGGAGGCCAAGTGGGTGATGAAGACTCTCCTACTCGGGATGATGGTTCCTAGTATGCCAGTGATGCAGAATGCCCAGGTGTTCCCTAGATTTTTCACAACTAATAGAGAGTTGGGGCTTGCCTTTTTGCCTTTAGATCCTCAGATACAGAGTTTTCAGGACTTTTGATTGGAAAGGGGCATTAGGCAACAGTCTGAGTGAGGGACAGAGCTATGGATCATCTGATTGGTCCTCCTCCAATGTTAAGTATACCCCTTTTAAGAGAACTAATTATTCAGCTGCTCCAATTTGTGTTTGGCTGCCCTTTATTTGGGTTGTGAGTAATGATACCTTAGGTAAGAATCAGAAAGAAATAAATTGCTCTGCTTAGAATTGTTTTTATGCATTATGCTGGGATGCTATTAAGCACCCTTTTGCTTTGGTGATGCGCATGCCTCGATTTGTTCCAGTTCCTGTTGAGACGCCAAGTAATTTGAGTTTGTTTAGGGAAAAGCGAGATTTTTGGGATCTCTGCTATTATTGTGGGCCTGATAGCCACCGCCGCGGTTACTGCTTCGGTTACCGCCTCGGCCCTTGCACTTTCTGCCACTGTGCAGACAACTCAAACCATTAATGAACTATAGGCCACTGTGACCATGGTCCTAGATAAACAGGCCACTGCCAATTCTCAGATACAAGGAGGCCTGATGTTGGTAAACCAACAGATTAATTTGGTTCAGGAACAATTGGATATATTGTGGCAGATGGCCCAATTGGGATGTGAACAAAAGTTGCCTGGCCTTTGTGTCACTTCAGTACAATATGAGAATTTTACAAGAGCAGCTAACCTGTCACAAGCTCTGTCTCAACATTTATTACAGAATTGGACTTTTGAGTTTGAGCAGACACTCCGTGAGTTGAGAATGGCGATCCTGCAAGTGAATTCGACGCATCTGGATCTTTCTCTGATGGAAGGCCTCTCCTCCTGGATTTCATCTGCATTTTCTTATTTTAAGGAATGGGTGGGGGTAGGATCATTTAGCCTAGTTCTCTGCTGTGGAATAGTGTTGATGCTTTGGATGGTGTGTAAGCTCAGAGCCCAAACAAAAGAGACAAAGTGGTGGTGGCACAAGCACTTGCTGCCTTAGAACACGGAGCCTCCCTGACATTTGGTTAACCATGTTAAAGCAATAGGTCGCTGGCCTCCCAGCTCTTGCACCCCACGAGGCTAGTCTCATTGCACGGGATAGAGTGGGTAGGCTTCAGCAGCCCAAGGAGTTGCAAGGCTAAGCACTGCACAGGAGAGGTCTGCGGTATAACGACTTTCTCCTGGGAGATAAGTCATCTTGCATGAAGGTTCTATGTCATGATCTCCTTCCCCCAGAAAAACGACATCGGACTGGTCAGGGCTCTCTCTGGGGATAAGACCCTGGAGAGGAGCTTTGTACATGTTCCGAATTTGCACATGGGGATTTGACCTCTATCTCCACTCCAAAGTTGTGGGTGTCCTATTGCTTCAAAAATAAATGAATAGGGGGAGATGTGAGGAGCCGCCCTCGCTATCGCTATTGCCGTTAGAAGATGGCGCTGACATCTGCTGTCAGTTGGAGTTAACCGTTAGAAGATGGCGCTGACATCTGCTGTCAGCTGGAGTTAACCGTTTAAGCTGTGCCTCTCCCGTGGCGTCATCTGGGGTGATGTGCAAACCACCAATCCCGGCTCTACACGTCTCACTCGGAGCTCCTAGGCTTATATAAGGGGCTGGGTTTCTTAGCTTGGGGTCTCCCTCTAAGAAGCTGATCATCTATCTCTCAAGATACATTAAAGCTTTACTGCAGAAGGATCCGAGTGTTCTGCGTCGTTCTTGCTGGCGAGACGGTAGCGCGGGACACTCTACAAAGTATATTAACTGCCCTGAGAAAAATAAAAATTGCCACTTGATCAGCTGCTTGTCTTGTGGTCATTCCTTTGTGTCTTCTTGTCCCCATCCTCGGTCCTTATGTCTCTTGCTCCAGATTGAGGTCCTGCAGGTCGAGACACTCATACAATAAGGACATCTGCTCAACTATGTTCATAGCAGCATTATTTGTAATAGCCAGAACCTAGATGCCCCTCAAGAGCGGATAAAGAAAATGTGGTACGTTTACACAATGGAGTACTACTCAGCAGTAAGAAAATGGAATCTTGAAATTTGCAGGCAAATGGATGGCACTAGAAGAAACTATTCTTGTCCCAACCTGCAGGACATTCAACATGGGTCTGGTAGACAGCTAGGAGAAAGATGGAGGACAGGGGATACAGGAATGGATGCCAAGACAGGATTCTGATCAAGGTGACAACTTTATTTCATCCCAAAGTGATTTATATAGGAAAAGTGAGTAGGGTAAGGGAGGAAGGTGTACTTGCAGCTGCAGGGGAAAGAGGTCAGTGGGAGAGGTGGTCTGCTGCATTGCCTGGCAACCCAGTCTACAGGGTAAGAGGTCAGGGGTAGGACCTTCTATGTTGTTTGCTAACCTGACAACAGAGTCTGATCCTACCTATTACAATTTACTGTTGCTCAGGCCTATCTCCTTTGGATATTGTAGTTTTCCAATTAAGCTAGTCTTTAACTGACAGATAAACTGAAGGCCTGTTTCTTTGAATTTGCTTTATGTCAGAAGAGGTGGCAGGGTGGTCTTAGTGTCACATCTTCTCTATGAGTATGTGATACAGCCTAGCTGACTGATGGCTGGAGGTCCCTGACACATCCTGAGTGAGGTAACCCAGTCACAAAAAGGCAAAAATGGTATGTACTCACTCCTATATGGATTTTAGACATGGAGCAGGGCATTGTCAGCCTACAATCCCACCACCAGAGAGTCTGGGGTGCAGGGAGAACCTAAGAGGCATATGCATGGTACCCCTGAGAAGGGTTAGGGGATGCGATCTCCTAATTGGATGGGGGGGTGAAGGGAAGGGCAGAAGGAGATGGGAGAAAGAGAGGGAGAAAAGAGGAGGGGAGAGGAGGACATGGGAGAGCAGGAAGGTTGAGTCAAGGTAAGAATAGAGGAGAGAAGGACAGGAGATAACATAAAAGAGTGAGTCAGTATAAGTTGGAGGAGAGATCTGGCACTAGTGAGGTCTTCACAGATCTACAAGAATGACACCAACTGGCATTAAGGCTACCTTAAATGCCCTCCCATGATAATGAGAATGATGACTACCTTATATGCCATCCTAGAACTCTCATCCAGTGGCTGATGGAGGCAGAGGCAGATACCCACAGCTGGGAACCAAATTGAACTCCTGGAACCCACTTGCAAAGAAGAGTGATGACCAAAGGAATCAAGATCAGGCTGGTGAAACCACAGAGGCAGCTCACCTAAACAAGGGGGAACACATGAACCCCAGACTGATGACTGAGGGGCCAGCATGGAACTGATCCAGACATCTCTCCCACCAAACCTGGGTGGCAATCTGTGGGACCTTGGAGCATAGAGCAGTATGTATTCTTGGCATACAGATGAACTCTGGGAACCCATACCATGTGCAGGGATGCTCTCAGCCTGGACACATGTGGGAGGACCTAGGCCCTGCCCAGGATGATGTGACAGACTCTGAAAATCCCTCATGGAAGCCCTTGCCCTCCCTGGAGAGCAGAGGGGGGATGGAGTGGGGATGAAGGGTTGGGAGGATTGGGGGTAGGGGAGCAGGGGAGGGAGAGGGAACTGAGAGTGACACATGTAAAAAGTTAAATAAAAAATATGAAAAATAAATAAAAAGAATGGACCAAGACAAAATTGTGAAATTGGTTGATTTTAACTATACTTTTATTAATTTGTGATAACCTTTGCATAGATTAAAACCATAAACATCTCAGAGATAGATAATATTCCAACAAAGTGACAGTAGGCTGGACTCTAGCTGGCTATGTACCTGAGGATAGCCTTGAATGTTACACTTTAATTCTTTTAATGTATTTTCTTTTCAAATGAAAACAATGCCATTAACTTAATTTCTATATGAGAATTCCTTAAAGGACTTATTAGCATAGTGAAGTTAATAAATGTCCTTCATTTAACATTTATTTTATTCACCAAAGAAACTCCAAAAGTTAATTTAAAATCTGCACTGAACTTACTCACAGTATTTTGTTGTTGTTTTTCATGACAGGATTTCTCTGTGGCTTTGGAACTAGCTCTTGTAGACCACACTGGTCTTGAACTCACAGAGATCCACCTGCCTCTGCCTCCTGAATACTAGGATTAAAGGTGTGTGCCACCATTGCACAGCCACAGTATTTTTTTAAAAAAAATATAAACATACTGACCTCGTTATGCACTACTTATGTTAATTCAATAGAGCTGTACCCACATGTCGCAGAAACAGTATGTACAATCAGTCCCTTCTAATTAAAACTACAGGATTTTATTGGACAAAATAATTGTTTTGTTTTCCTAGAAGGCACCAGTGATCATTTATCATTTAATAAAGCAGTAACAACAATAAATTTAAGAAATAAAAACAGCAATTGGGCCTTGAAAGTGAAAAAAAAAGAGAAAGAACAAAACATAAAACCTGAAAAGTTATACTCAGGGATTGTATTTTGTTTGTTTGTTAGGTTGGTTGGTTACTGGGGTAGGCCACAGAAGTTTTCTATCAGGAAAAGTTTATTCAAGGATGAAATCAATACAACATCCTCACAAATACATGATGAAGTGGCACAGCTGCTTTTTCATCCATCAGGGAGATATGGGAAAATTCTGCACAAGGTCATCAAGCTGTGGCATCAGGAAGCCTTCCATAGTCCCAAAAAAGGGGTGTGTGTGACCCTCCTCCTCTGATCCTGTATCTTAGAGAAGACCATGTCCATCGGGCCAACCTGCTCCATTCCATTGGTCATTAGTCTGAATGGTGGAATCCCACAACAGTTGTCCTTTTTTGTTTTTGAAAAATAAGAACGGGCAAAGAGAACAGAGATGACATGATTATAAAACTATTAGGATAGTACGTACAAGTTATCAAATGTGCCCATATTTAATTAAGAAACACTGCCTCCTACCAAAGGGAATGTGTTCCTGAGATGCACATTAGCTCTTATCAGAATGAAGGAATTTTCAGATAACTGTCCCAAGTCACAAAGACATAAGTAATAGTTTCCTGGTCTGAGCTTTACCCACATGCAACTCCTGACTTTGGTTATGTGACTGGAATGGGAAGGGAGGAGGGATATGCTCCAGTATATGGAATTCAGGTGAATAAATAGAACCCTAGGTGCCATTAATGTTTCCAGCTCACAAAACAAAAAATGCTTGAGAGATCATAAAGGCTTAGAGATTCTCTTCCAACAGACTATTCTGATGAAGCCAGTGGTTTAGCCTCCATTTGTTTTGTATTAAAGAATCCATAAATTAGAATCCATCTGTGCTAAGCAGTTTTACTAGTTACTCCCCAAATTCTTATATTTTAAAGCTATTAAGAAATATTTACATCATCAGCAACCTCACTAGCTCTTCAACCATTCCCCACTGGTTAATCTTCCCCTGAGGGCTACAGATGGAGCTCAATGGTGGAACATTTTTCTAGTGTGTGTGAGGCCTTGGATTCCCATTTCCATCATCACAAGAAAAAAATAGATAAGCAGTTATGAGTTTCTGTAGTCACTGCTTCCCACTGCAAAAAGAAGCTGCTCTGCCCAAGGTTGAAGGCTGTACTAATCTACAAGTGTGACCATAGACACGTAGAAGGCAATCTGACACCACATCTGTTCAGCAAAATAACAGTGGCAGGTCCCTCCACACACATCAAAGCCTTAAACCTCCCCAGATAGGGGCATTAATTCCTCCCTCTGAACCAGGTCAAAAATTCAAGCAGAAAATAATTGGTTACCCAATTATTCCACTATTGCACCAGTAGACAGGATGTGTACCCTCCATAGCAGCATGAAAGGGTCCACCACTAGGTAAGTCCACTGATGACTTTTGTCCGCCAGTGAACTGAATATCCCCCTTTGACACTATGAAAGCTAGCTGTCAGAAAGTTTCTCAGTAAGTTTGGAATTGATTTTTGTATGTCCTGCAAACAAAGTGTGTGGTGTCTTGTCTTTAGCAACAGGGTCTACCTAGAAATGGTGGGCAACCAAGAACAACAAAATACCACATGTTCTTTTGTGGAGCCTCACTGACTAGTCAATAACACATATGGAGGTATAACCCATACCTGACATCCCCTGAGCTTTTAGGGACTAAAGAACCACTGTGCATGTGAGGCAGGGTTTAAGCTACATATAACTAGATATACCATTATGATCAACATCTGGCACTCACCAGGTCTTTAAATACTAAAGCACTCTATGCAAGTGACGAAGGGTTAAAGTTCTTGTCACCAGACATATGACTCTTATCAGAAGCTGTAACCACAACTCATTTTTTGCATGCTTTAAGATTGCATTATTTACTGAGTCCCTACAAGTCACAAAACAGTATTTTAATACAAAAATGTCTAAGAGAACATTGCATATAATAAGGTTAAAAAGGCACCACATCAGTCAGTTTCCCACAACTGACAAAAACACCTAAGATGGCCAACTTAAAAGGAGAAAAGTTTTATTTTGGTTTGGGAGGTTTTCAGTTCATGGTTGGTCTGTTACTTTGGGCCTCTAATGTTAAGTAAAGCAAAGATGCCCACTTGAAATGCATATCAGGAAACAGAAGACAGGAGTTCCAATAGCCCCTCAAATAATCTAACCATCTCCTAAAATTTTCCAAAAGCACCAGACTAGAGAGCAAACCTTTAATATATGGACCTTCTGGGATCACTCTAGTCCCAACCCATAATAATCACTAATCAATTTCAAAATCAAAAGCTCAGCAAGGTGTGGTGACTCCTATCTATAATCCCAATGGTGAGGTTAAGACAAGAGGATCATTGTTAAGTCTGAGGCTAAGTCAGACTACCTAGTGAGTTTTCAAAGTCTAGGCTTCCAAAACAGAAACACATCAATCAGAACCAAAACCTTCTTTTCCCCCTAAATATTTATTATTTACTGAATGTGTGAGTATATGACACATGTGTGCATATGCCTTCAGAGGCCAGAAGACAACACTCAATGCCTGGAGCTGGAGTAACGCTTGTGATCCACACTGAATGGGCACTGGGGACTAAACTCTGGTCTTCTGGAAGAACAGAAAGTGCGCTAAACCCTTGAGACACCTGTCCATCCACTATGGTAATCAGAATGAGAATGGCCTCCATAAACTTATGTCTGAATATTTATTCCCACTTGGTAGAACTGTTTGGGAAGGATGAGGAGGTATGGCCTTGGAGGAGGTATGTTGCTGGGGGATTGGTTTTGAGTCTTCAAAAATCTGTTGTGGTCTCTGGCCAAGATAGTGTAGAAGTCACCAGGCTATAAAAATAAATGTGGCTTCTCCCCTAAAGATGGGTTCTATTGAGAAACAAAGCTAAAGCTAAAGGTCTAAAGAGGGAGAGTCTGGAACAAACATTCTGTGGCATTTGGGTAAGGTCTCACACTACAGGTAGCAAACATCAAGTCCCAGCATTCTGGGTGGGAAAACAGATACATACATCCCTTCCATTGAAAAGATAAGCCTTCATGCTTGACTGTCTAGTAGTTATAGATTACTGCGACTGTTCAGAATCATCAGACTCCAAGAGACTCTAATACTATGTATTGATAGCCTAGGAATAGGTCAAGTACAAAGTGCAGTCTCTAAACTTCAGCCAGGAGCCATCTGTATTGACTTTTAGGGCTTTAATGATGACTTAAGGAAATCTGAGCTTTTGTAATACATTTGAACATGAACAAAATACATTAAAAGATACATTCTTTTAAAACATTCTATGTATACTTAGCCATGACCCCAAACAAAATCTGAAGCAGAGTTTTGGTGCACATAATTTTGGAGTGTCTTTGTTAAATTAAACTATCAGAATTTCTGCCTGATTTTCAATATCTAACTTTATACCCACATCAAACAAGACTTGAAACATGAGGAATGAGTTAAGTCTTCCCAATCAATTCTAATGAAGTCCACCTTCATCATGCTTCTTTTAAGAGCCTATCAGAGACGGGCCCAGATGACCTACCCAACCACAGGTTTTTGGCAAGAGATGGTCTGCTTCCTATAGAAACCACATTGTGCTGACTATTTTTTTGTTTGTTTTTACGAGACAGGGTTTCTCTGTATTGTTTTGGAGGCTATCGGTCCAGCCTGGCCTCGAACTCACAGAGATCCGCCTGCCTCTGCCTCCCGAGTGCTGGGATTAAAGGCGTGCGCCACCACCGCCCGGCTGTGCTGACTATTATGACAGCAACACCCTAGTACCTTTCTCTCAAGGCTAGTTTTCAGTCTCTCAGACAACTGTTTTGATGATGATTGATTTTTCTTGACTCGGTTTACATAAACCAATTGTAAAAACTCACAATGTAGGATTCTGAGGTCTTTATTTCAGCAATCATGTAAAAATGCATCCAGATATTAAGAAGGAAAACTATTATATTAATAGAATATTATTGGCTATTACTGATTCATAGGAACAAAGCTGTCCTTTTATTTTGGAGTTGAATGAAGCTTGATTGTTCTATTTACCACCAAATAACTGAAATGTGCCTGTTTCTTTCTCTAAGGGTGGTGCTGCACCAATGTTCTTTTGAGGTCTCCTTATTAATATTCTGAGTGCAGTACAACACTTCTAAAAATGATATAACTTTTTATACTGAGTATGCCTTTCAGTTTAGGTGTGTTCTTGTCTTTGCAAACTAAAAATGGGGTGTATTTTGCCAAAACGTATGAAGATATAAGAACCAGCATTATGACTGAAATCTATGTTCTTCAAAAAAACTTTCCCTGAGTTTACATGTTAAAATGTAAGAATATCAACATATCATGAATATATCTGAATTAACAAATGAGAACATATTAATGACAACATAGGAAAATTTATTTTTATAAACATATGGAATATTGCCGGGCGGTGGTGGCACACGCCTTTAATCCCAGCACTCGGGAGGCAGAGGCAGGCAGATCTCTGTGAGTTCGAGGCCAGGCTGGACTGACAGCCTCCAAAACAATACAGAGAAACCCTGTCTCGAAAAACCAAAAAAAAAAAAAAAACCATATGGAATATTAAGACCTAAATGAAATAATAGCAATGGTAAGTGATTCAAAACACAGTTGTTATATATTCTTCCTAGGAAGTTTATGGCTTCCATGCTTAGCTTCAAGCACAGGTGAACACGAATCTCAAATGGAAGGATGTCACATCCAGCACCATAGCAGCATCACAGCTCAGTAGCAGAATAAAGCCGAAAATGGCTAGGTAAACAAACACAACACAACAAAGTACACTGGAGACAAAACTGAGTGAGGCAGGGTGAGTACATTGGGAGGAGGGGAACTGGGAGGCCCAGTTGTAAACATTCCCATCTTTTATGACTAAACAGAATTGAAGATTAAGCTCTCAGGTGGCCTCACTAATTTCTACATCATGAATAGCTGCTGGTTCTGGAATTTCATTCATCTTGAAAACCTCATCATAGAGCAAATAGCTCTGCAGACTTCTGGGAAGTGGCAACTGATGGATGAAACTGTCAGAACGAAGATGTTCTGCTTTTAGGCTGGTCCGAATTTCCAAACGACAGAGATGGGCCAGGCATGGGACACAGGCTGGAGAAAGAAATGAACAAAATGTTAACAAACAGTGGTCTGAACAAAAGAATAAGAACCTGAGTTTGAACTTCATAAGCCATATAAAAGTCACAAATGGTGACATCAATGGGATTTTGCTGGCTAACAACCTACCTCCAGATTCAGTGAGAAACCCTGTATCAAAGTAATAAGACAGAGAGTGACAGGCTAACATCTTTCTCTGGTCTCCAAGTTTGCACACAATCATGAATTCAAACACAAACACATTATCAATACACTAAGGTAAGCAACCAACCCATTTCTGTATAATAACCGTTGGGATCCTTCCACATATTGTAAGAAAAACTCCAATCTCTGGAGTCCCTACATTCTACACTGATGCAAACATGTCAGAAAAGCAAGTTATAAATCAGAAAATATAAGTAAAGTAGTTCAAAGCCCTTATAATTCTGTACAAAGGCAGAGCTACACACCATTCTCATGGTACTTATGGATTTTCCAGAGCCCCTCAATAAAGTTACTAACTCCCAATAAGCAGAGTCATTTTACACATTGAGACAGCTGAATTCATTCCTGATAATACAGAAATAACATCATAATTTACACAATTACAAGAAACAGTCAGGAATAGAACTCATCATATATACAGGTCTGCCAGGTCCTCTAGCACAAGGCAATGGTGAGATTGATCATTTATTCATAGTAAGTATGCTATAAGCTTCAGAATTTCATTTTAAAAATGTAAATAGCAAAGGCTTAAAAAAGGATTTTTCCATCACTTGGCAACAAGCCAAAGAAATAGTAAAAAACTGTCCTACCTGTTCATTCTATAACCAAGCTCCATTAATCAGCAGGCAGTAATCCCTAAGGTATACACAGGACTGGGAACGACTAGACTACTTTTGATATGGGGGCCTTTCAAAGGCCCCCAAGAAGTTTCCCAATTGTAAAGGGCTACCTTGCTTGTCTGTGGTCGACCTACATTAATTGTTCAGTGTCAATCTTTGCCACATCTCAGAAGGCTGAGGCTGATGGGGGAAGTCCTGTGTATATGCCAATAAAGCACTGTTGGCCAATAGGGAAGCAAGATAGGTGGGACTAAGAGTCCAGGAGGACTCTGGGTAGGAGAAACACAGGGAGTCAAGATGCAACCACCATAGGGGTCAGAAGCCCGGAAACTTTGCTCCGGTAAGAGAAATACTTAGAATAACAATTATGGAGTAAATACTTAAGTCAGAGCTAGCCAGTAAGAAACAAGCAAGGCCAACAGCTTCATAATTAATAAAGCCTCCTGTGTGTTATTTGGAACCAATGCGGCTCTGGAATCAGGCTGGCGGGAGGGCTTCTCTCAAGGAAAAAGCTTCTCTTTACATGGTGATCAGGAGTGGGATGATGAATTTCCACACAGAGTGACAAAAGCTTTAAAGGAGTTTTAGAAACAAAAGAATGGAGAAAAGCATGGGTTCTTGGTAGCAGCATTTTTCTCAGGTGAACTCTATTTTGCTAGCCAAAAGCAGAGACTCATGTGGCTTGCTTAAGGGAGTCTTCCTGACTCAGCAAACAAACAAACAAAAAAACAAGGTTCTTTTAAGAGGCTCTGCTAATGATTGAAAGGTGTATATGTACAGCTGGAAGTGGCAGTGACTACATCTCTAGGCCGGCAGCTTTTGCTATATGTCAGCATGGACTGAGGCGTTGAGCTGGAATCACGCTTACGCCCACCATCTTGGAAAAACTGCAGTTTAAACAGCCGCAGTTTTAACAGATAAGACATGTGGCCAGTAAAACATAAAGATCTACAGTAAAGTCAGACTTGGATAAAGAAAAGCCTCTAAAGGTTTACAGTGTGTTTAAAAATATATGTAAGATTGAGAGAGAAAAAGAAACGGCATAGTGGTAAATAAGTAGAGAAGCCACCTGTGGTGGCGCACGCCGGTAGGAATTGCTCTAGAGGCAGAGGCAGGCAGATTTCCAAAGAGAAACCCTGTCTCAGAGAAAAATAAATAAAAGTAAAAGAAATAGAGTAATAATAGATAAATAAATAAGCCACGTAAAGATGGAAAATACACAGAAAGTCTGGATACTGTATGCTATTGTGTTTTTCAGTTTTTTGATTGCTCAGGAAGGAACAACTGCTAAAGTACACTTGATTATAAATGCTGCTGTATTAATTCAACTTATATCTTTTGAAAATGCCTTGACTTCAAAATTTAAGTATAAGGATATGTTACTTGGGAAAGGAGTTTTTGTTTATGTTTCTACAGAAAATGAAAAGCTGAGGATTCCTTCCAGGCTTCTGTGGTTTGATGAACCAAGACCCCGAGAAGCAGTGGGCCAGGTGTTCCAACAATTGAGACAGCTAAGATGATACAGCCTTACAGACCCCGAAAATAAGGACTTATACAGGTTTCTGAGTTTTGTCATGATCCCCATGGTATGAACAGCGCCTCCTTCCAGCATGAAGCAGTTTGGAATGAGCGACGTCCTAATTCCCATCTTGTTTATAAATCTTTGTTTTCATTTAAATGGGATTGTTTATAATTGGTTAATGATCACAACCAATCTCTTTTTAATGGAAAAAGGGGATTATGGTATGGAAATGAGTACTTTGTATGGGTATGGTTTTTTATTTATTGATATAAATTCAATGTCAATTTTGTGATGTGTATATTTCTCATGATTAAGTATTGTGCTTATACTGATCTTTTAAAAGATAATGCATAAGTAAATATAGATTATAGATAGTTACTTATAATAGTCAGAATTTATACTTGGGTAACTTAGGTTTTCTAGATATATAGATATGTATTTGAGACAGATAGTCTTCAAACCTTTCAAAGACCTTCAGAAAATGGCATTTAAAATGGTTTAGGGTTTTTCTTGACAATGAGAAATGTCTGCCCCTGGCAGCACCAACTACGTCTGAGAGGAAGATGGGCATCAAAGAAACTGCTTATGGAGTTTGCTTTCAACATGGCAAGATTAGCCATTTGGGCAAGAAACTGCTCTTGCCTAGACTGCTTGACTGTTGCTGTATAAACTGGACATGCAGGACTGTTGAACTCAAACAATCCTTCAGGGTTCCTGATTCATGGAAGAGTCTATGAGACTTTCTGAGATCACAGAAAAATGACTGACAGACTGCCAGTGCAGATGGACAGTTTGAAATTTCCTGCTTTGCTGAGAAGTCTTCCAGACACACTGTGGCCTATGGGCTGAAGATGGATGTCCCAACATTACAGAGGAACTTCGGGTGACTGTCCAGGTAGCAAGATGTCTCTGTCAATCCTAGTGTTTATATATTATCCTTCTGTGGTCTTTGATAGAGTTGAAGGCAGACAGTTATAATTATAGTTTTCCTTAGTTATGATAAGAGATACGCTACATATAGGACTTTGAACTCATAAGGGTGGTATAGATGATATTTTCTTTAAATCTTGCTAAAATATTGTAACTGTGTTCTTACTTGATAACTGTTATGTTATATATAATTTGACTATGTTAAAGTTAAGACCTTTCTTTTTGTTTAGACAGAAAAGAGGAGATGATGGGAGAAGTCCTGTGTATATGTCAATAAAGCACTGTTGGCCAATAGGGAAGCAAGATAGGTGAGACTAAGAGTCCAGGAGGACTCTGGGTAGGAGAAACACAGAGAGTCAAGATGCAACTACCATAGGGGTCAGAAGCCCGGAAACTTTGCTCCGGTAAGAGAAATACTTAGAATAACAATTATGGGGTAAATACTTAAGTCAGAGCTAGCCAGTAAGAAACAAGCAAGGCCAACAGCTTCATAATTAATATAGCCTCCTGTGTGTTATTTGGAACCAATGCGGCTCTGGAATCAAGCTGGCGGGAAGGCTTCTCTCAAGGAAAAGGCTTCTCTCTACATGAGGCCTTCTGTTTGAGTCACTCCTAGGATGAACATTATTTCTATGAATGTTTTACCTACAATTTCTTTTTAGATGTCCTATTCTACCACAGGTAAAACATCTGGTATTTCAATGTCTTTTAAAACTTTGGAGATTGCTTCTCCTATGCAAGCTTCTGTCATGTAAAACATGCTTGCTACTAATTTAAATTTTTAAAAAAGGAAAAAAATGCAAAAGAACGTTAGAAAAAAATTAAAGGTATAAATAGGTCCCAGTTGGTGGAGCAAAAGTTACTTAACAACAGAGAAATGACTGGACCAAAACCTTTTACATAAACTGAAAACCATGTCACCTTTTCTGGTAAGTCACAATTGGATGTAACAGTTATCTAGCAAAATGTCGGCGCCTTACCCTCTGTCAGAGGAATACTTCTGCCTACAATCAAAAGATACAGTTGGATTATCTCTCAGATTAAACAACACCTAATAGCCTTGGGGAGAAAAAAAGAAAAATTTCAGTCCATAGTGCCTATACTCATTTGTCCAGGCTAACCTTAACCTTGTGATGATCCCCCTGCCTTTGACTAATAAATGCTGAGACTAGAGGCATGCATCACCATACTTGGCAAAAAAAAAAAAAGATTCTTTATAAAATTTGTCTGGCATACTTCTGTTCCTCCATGCATCAATCATTTTTAAAGTTAATTAGAAAGAGGAGGCAGAGGCAGGTAGATATCTGTGAATTCCAGGCCAGCCTGGTCTGCATAAGAGTTCCAGGGCAGGTTCCAAAGTGCTACCGAAAAACCCTGTCTTGGAAAAAAAGAAAGAAAAAAAAAAAAAAAAGGAAAGCCTTATAACTTTACATTTTTATTAAATGTATCTGACAGCCAGAAAAACTGCTTCCACATACATCAAAGGAAGCTTTTCTTTGTTAAGATCATGCAAACACGCCAGCAACAGCTCTGCCACTGATGTACCCAAACTTTCCTCCCCCTCCTCTCCATTTTTGAGACAGGGTTTCTAGATACAATCCAAGCCACAACTCCTCTGCCTTAGCTACTGTGATAGGGCAAGGCAGTGCAGATATTCCTCCACCTTGTATTCTTGCTGAGGCCATTTCAGGTTTAACTGGAATTTGATCTCCTCGATG